TTGTTATTGGATTCTAGTTCGGAGGTCACTCGAATATTTGGATGGATATGATTAAATAGGGTGATAAAGTTTTCAATAGATTTGCTATTATTACTAATAATAAGAGTATCATCTACATAACGTTTGTACAGCATAAATTCTCCAAGCATACCTTGCATTTGTTTCTCTAATTTCGACATAAATATATCTGCTAACAGGGGCCCCAGAGGGCTACCCATTGCAACACCGTCGATTTGTTTGTATGCTTTTCCTTGGAATGTGAATCGAATATTTTCTGTACACATTAAGATGATGTCTTTGATGTACGTTACAGGAATAGGTAAGTTTATCCCGTTGCTTGTGATATAGTCGCAAATGAAATCAACAGTTTCATGAAGGGGAACATTGGTGAATAAAGATTCTATGTCAATTGAACACATAACCTTTTCCTTAATGTTCAAGGTGTCTAGCATTTCTGTAAGATCAAATGAACTTTTTATAGAATGATTTGATAATGAGTCTCTTACAGGCGTAAGGACCTCTGTAATCCATTTGGCGATTTTATGGTAAGGAGAATTTGACATATCTAAGATGGGTCTCAGTGGGTTCCCAGTTTTGTGGATCTTCGGAAGGCCATAAAGCTGAGGAGTATGTGACCCAATTGCTTTAAGTTGTTTATAAAGTTTTTCATTTATAAAACCATGCATCAGTAAAATTTGAAGCTGACGATTGATCTGCTTTTCCACAAGCAGCACATTATCAGTAGCATTGTCCACCAGAAATTTGGACTGATCCTTGAGGATATCCTTCATTTTATTTTCATAATCCGATTTGTTCATAATGACAACGCCTTCTCCCTTATCAGGTTTAAGGATCACAAGATTATCTTTTTGGATTAATTCCTTAAGTGCGGCGTGGTGTTCTTTTGATAAACCATTTTTCTGGTATATTCTAGCATTTAGAAATTGATGAGAAATGTCCACCAGTTTAACTTTAAACCAGTCCAGATTATCTTTACTAGAAGGAGTTAAATCAGAGATTTGATCATACAGGCTTTCATACTGTGACTGGACTTCCATTTTGTTAATTTTCATGGGAATAGTTTTGTACTTCAAACCATAAGATAATGCTTCCAACTGTAGTTGGGATAGAGTGCATGTAGACAAATTAATTATATGTTTGTGTATATCCTGAGGAAATTCCAAAATATGATTCGAATCTTTCAAAGATTTTGTTAACTTTTGTTCGGTGGAACTAATGGTCTTTTTTATCATATCATTGCAAAATACCGTGAATTTAATTCGACATACTAAAGATAAATTATCCAAAACGGGAGTTAGTCTTTGGTGTGTTTCAATAAATTTCGAAAGTTTGTCATTAATTTCATCAATTTCTAATTCAGCAAGATGTTGGAGGTTGGAAAGTGTAGATTTTGACTTATTCCGACGAAGTGATTTGTAAAATGATATAGGATAATGTTTATTTTCTATGCAGTTGCGATAAAACCTTAATCGTTCTCGCTGAATTACAATTTTACATCTCAGATTTAGAAGACGGTTCAGAAGTCTTATAGTATCTTTCGGGAGCCTTCGTTTGAGAAAATTAAAACAATTAGTCCCTTTGATAAATTTGAATAAGGCATTAAGAAGACAAATTTCGCGAGATGATATCGTCATTTCCTAGTTTCTTTACAACCGCTTTACAAGTAACAGTGCTATGTTAACCATGTTAGTTGTAAAGCGTTTGTAAAGAAACTACGAAATGACGATATCATCTCGCGAAATTTGTCTTCTTAATGCCTTATTCAAATTTATCAAAGGGACTAATTGTTTTAATTTTCTCAAACGAAGGCTCCCGAAAGATACTATAAGACTTCTGAACCGTCTTCTAAATCTGAGATGTAAAATTGTAATTCAGCGAGAACGATTAAGGTTTTATCGCAACTGCATAGAAAATAAACATTATCCTATATCATTTTACAAATCACTTCGTCGGAATAAGTCAAAATCTACACTTTCCAACCTCCAACATCTTGCTGAATTAGAAATTGATGAAATTAATGACAAACTTTCGAAATTTATTGAAACACACCAAAGACTAACTCCCGTTTTGGATAATTTATCTTTAGTATGTCGAATTAAATTCACGGTATTTTGCAATGATATGATAAAAAAGACCATTAGTTCCACCGAACAAAAGTTAACAAAATCTTTGAAAGATTCGAATCATATTTTGGAATTTCCTCAGGATATACACAAACATATAATTAATTTGTCTACATGCACTCTATCCCAACTACAGTTGGAAGCATTATCTTATGGTTTGAAGTACAAAACTATTCCCATGAAAATTAACAAAATGGAAGTCCAGTCACAGTATGAAAGCCTGTATGATCAAATCTCTGATTTAACTCCTTCTAGTAAAGATAATCTGGACTGGTTTAAAGTTAAACTGGTGGACATTTCTCATCAATTTCTAAATGCTAGAATATACCAGAAAAATGGTTTATCAAAAGAACACCACGCCGCACTTAAGGAATTAATCCAAAAAGATAATCTTGTGATCCTTAAACCTGATAAGGGAGAAGGCGTTGTCATTATGAACAAATCGGATTATGAAAATAAAATGAAGGATATCCTCAAGGATCAGTCCAAATTTCTGGTGGACAATGCTACTGATAATGTGCTGCTTGTGGAAAAGCAGATCAATCGTCAGCTTCAAATTTTACTGATGCATGGTTTTATAAATGAAAAACTTTATAAACAACTTAAAGCAATTGGGTCACATACTCCTCAGCTTTATGGCCTTCCGAAGATCCACAAAACTGGGAACCCACTGAGACCCATCTTAGATATGTCAAATTCTCCTTACCATAAAATCGCCAAATGGATTACAGAGGTCCTTACGCCTGTAAGAGACTCATTATCAAATCATTCTATAAAAAGTTCATTTGATCTTACAGAAATGCTAGACACCTTGAACATTAAGGAAAAGGTTATGTGTTCAATTGACATAGAATCTTTATTCACCAATGTTCCCCTTCATGAAACTGTTGATTTCATTTGCGACTATATCACAAGCAACGGGATAAACTTACCTATTCCTGTAACGTACATCAAAGACATCATCTTAATGTGTACAGAAAATATTCGATTCACATTCCAAGGAAAAGCATACAAACAAATCGACGGTGTTGCAATGGGTAGCCCTCTGGGGCCCCTGTTAGCAGATATATTTATGTCGAAATTAGAGAAACAAATGCAAGGTATGCTTGGAGAATTTATGCTGTACAAACGTTATGTAGATGATACTCTTATTATTAGTAATAATAGCAAATCTATTGAAAACTTTATCACCCTATTTAATCATATCCATCCAAATATTCGAGTGACCTCCGAACTAGAATCCAATAACAAACTCGGTTTCCTGGATATTACTATGACTAGGAGAAATGATGGAACGATTCAGCGCTCTATTTTTCGTAAACAGACGTGGAGTGGACAATATCTTCATTTTACCAGTTTTGTTCCTATCCAGTATAAACGTTCCCTGGTGAAATGTTTGTTCTCAAGGGCTCGAAAAATATGTACGAGTGACACATTGATGGATGAGCTTCGACATATACATTCAGTTTTACTAGCCAATGGTTATCCAGAAAACTTCATCAATTGTCACGGTAAGGATAGACCACATCTTGAAAAGAAAGCTTCTGTACCAAAGAAAGCTATCTTTATTAATCTACCATTCAAGGGCGACCAGATTATGCAGTTGACAGCTCAAAGACTTCGGTCAGCCATCAAACGCACATTCTACGCCGCATCTCTTTTTCTCACTTGCCGAACATTTTCGATCCCTGTACCTACGATTAAAGGACGAAATTCTGTGGACTCTACTTCAAACTGTATCTACAAGTTCACCTGCAGCTGCGGTGACACCTATATAGGTAGAACTAACAGAATGTTCCAATGTCGTCGAAAAGAACATGTTCCAAAATGGCTAGTAAATCATATCGAAAATCCTAACGCGATTAATCTTAGTAGAAATCCAGCATCATCCATTGCAAAACACTTATTAATGTCTGGTCACAAAATCAATATTAATGACTGTTTCACAATTATTTCACATAACTCTAATTCAAGGTTATTGAAGGTGATGGAAGCACTTTGGATTAATCACATACAGCCTAAACTGTGTGTACAAAAATCAATAGACTTCAATCTTCGCCTACCCTGGACTGCATGACCTATCTTAATATGATTGGTCATTAGTATGTACTTTTGTTTTTATTTAACTGAGTAATTTTCATGAACTTTATTTTATCATTGTTAACCATGTTAGTTGTAAAGCGGTTGTAAAGAAACTACGAAATGATATCATCTCGCGAAATTTGTCTTCTTAATGCCTTATTCAAATTTATCAAAGGGACTTATTGTTTTAACATTAATGTTGTTAATAACACTAATTCATTCACCATTATTTATGTATTTGTAACTGTAGAACCTGGTGATGAAGTAATCGAAACGAGTTCTCTTTGTTCAGTAATCATAATTTACATATTTGTTCCTACTGACTCAGGCGTTTATAAATTTTCCCGTGTTTTGAAGTTTCTGTAGGAATTCGATTGAATCTCTGTGGTAAGGGTTGCTAGTCTCATGCAAAACAGATATGAAGAAGTAATTAAAGATGGATCGGATATACACTGACAAGACTGTTGAGTGAAATTACACACCAAATAGACCCTAGATTTGAATTCGAGTGAGAAATGAAGAGTAAGACTTGGATCCGAGGGTGACATGAAGGATATTGAGTGTGTATGTGTGTATACTGAGAAGATGAAAGCTGGTGAACAATCCTAGAACGAGAAAAAAAGACTGCGAGGAACAAATTGGAATAGAGATGTGCTGCAGAAGGCCTATGTTTCACTAGGAATCCAAGGAAATAAATAATAAAACAGCAATAATGCTGACTAACTGAACTGTTTGTTATTGTCAATTAATCATGTTAAAAAGCAAACGGCTTACTTTATCTCTAGGCAAGTGAAACTGTTCACAGCCATAATCCAAAACACAACCAAGTGGCCAACGCTGAAAAAAGTAGGTAGAAAAAAATAGTGAAATGATATTCAAATTAATATGAGAACATGTTGTATAATACTGAATATAGACCAACCCTTCCTAGAACCATGAACAAAAGCAACACATTATATAACGTCGTAAAAATACCTAGGATAGCAAATACAAACTCCAGTTGCAATCAAGTTTTATTTGATCCCCTAATCGGTAGAAGGATCGTGCTATGGAAGAATCTCAAACCAGGACGAAACACCTTTCTATTAGTTCTCCAATTGAGATCCGTTTTCGCGCAAAATATATATGGTTTTTAAGAAATTATATGTGATGAGGTATTTGAATCAAGGGTGAGAATATATTAAATAATAATAATAACAATAATAATACTAGTATGAAATGCAATCACAAAGTGTTTGTGATTATAATCATAGTTAAATGGTAAGTGGCAAAACAGTTAATGTCATATGCAGAAAAATTCATACGATGTATGGATGTTAGGAGGGGGCGTAAAATTACAGGATTAGTAGATAAATAAAAGAAAAACGTTACACGTAACATTGTGTGAGATTCGGTAACATACAATTTAACGTTGTAAAACAAAATTGATTTAGAATAACAAATGGGACGAGTGAATTAATATTGGGGACAATTCCAAGTGAGAATAGTAATAGTAACAATTCACGTAACAAAGGAAGAATATACAAATTGAATAAACAGAATGAAAAATGAGTAGAGCTAATATAGAAACAGGGATTATCATTCTTCAGCACAAAGGGGTTAAGACCTTGATAGTTGGAGGAATTGAATGAACTTTTTTCTATATACAGAGATCTGGCTTTTCTGTTTCGATGGCAAAAGCTTCAGGAATACAGATGAGTTGGATACGTAATGATTTGAGCTAATTATTTTTTGCGTCGAAGATAACTTAAAAGGCGGAGGCTGTAGAGATAGGGTGATTATTATCGACCAGATGCTGAATGACTTCGCTTTTTATTGCTCCATTTCCGCCTCTTTGTAATCATTCAGGATAGTGTTCTTGCACTCTCTTGGACAAAAGTCGAGTCGAAATGCCAATATACCCAAATGCACACAAGCAGGTCAGTTGATGAACGCACATAGAGTTGGTCAACTGCAGAATCATGTCCTTAAGGTCGACTGAAAAACGCTATTCTCAACGACGCAGCAGGGAATGTCCTTTTCAGGGACTGCGAGATCCTTCTTTTGATGACGTCGACAGCTAATTCACGTTTGAATTTCAAGCTCATGTACAGCATTTTCTTGGTTACGAACTTTAGGTCACATTCCATAGGTTTTGACTGTATGTTTTTGCCTATACAACATGGCGGAAATCCATTTTCCATTAGAATTTTTCTTAGAAGATTTAACTTCTCATCCACAGCATCCAGACTACATATGCGACAAATGCTAGTAGCAAATGACTTAATCAGGTTTCTTATCTGATCAATGGGTATCCAGTTGTAGAAATTTCTCAGATGACCATTTCACATTAGCTTTCCATATTTTGATCTTTTTAGAGTTTCATCGGTCCCCCTTGATAAGCTCATCTTGAGGAAATGAATGCTAGACTCATTTTCCACTTCGAGTGTGATTTGGCAGAAGTTGGAATTCATGGACCATTGAGTTCCGTCCAAGAGGGCTGAATGGTCTACGAGCTCGCCTCGTACCCGGGAGGTACCGGGTTCAAATCCCGCTGCTGCATATCATTAGGGAGTTTAAAACTAGACCGGTACTCCCTGCTGATTTTCCAGTGGTTCTCTAACTGATGTCGGCTCGCAATCAATGCTGTAGCGAATCAAATCCCTGCAAACCAACACCAGATCCATTTGTGACAAAAAACCTATCTGGAAATCAATCAAATCTCAACACAAGCACACACCGGGCAAGTGCAAATTCGGTTACTTCTAAGCAACAGTAATAGACAGATCAAATACACAGTACATTTCAGTGCAACGGCTATAATAGAAGACAAGAGACTTGGAAAAGGGAAGATTTATTTGGGATTTGGTATCTCTACAGCGAAATTATGTACACCAAATAGTCATTTTGCACAGGTCTGCCATATTGTGGTAATTGTGCCGTTCCTTCTCTGTCTACCCTTCCATATCTCCCATGTTTTGCCGCGATGCTAAGTCATTTGTTCTCTTTGACGTCAAGTCTATCACTCCGTGCTATCTGATAATTTTATGTCGATGAACGTCTCTTTATATACTACTGATAAATCATATCAGTAGCAGACGCCACATTACCTTTCCTTCAGAGGATTTCGTCTAGATCAAGAAGTTATTCGTTACACTTTATTTATCAATCAGTTGTTATTTATCCAATCGATAAAAAAACTATATACAAAGTATGACTCTTCTTATATAGGCATAGAGATGATACAGATACGAGCCGGTGATAATAGAGCACATTCTATTCTGTAGCTTCCTCCATAAGAATTCGCTATTGAACTCAGTTTTTTTCAACTAGGTATAATTGTACGCCACATACAGAAGTTAAATTACAACAAACTCCATTCACTAAAACTTTTCTCCAATCTATAGTCTTTTCAAACAGTTGCATAATAAAGAAATATTGAAAGAATAAAATAATAAAAATTATAAAGATAAAAGACTGTGGTTGGTTTCCATTCATGTCACCCACAGTCATCAGCTATTTGCTGTTAGTATTATTATTCGTCCCTTGCGTTCCGAGTGGAATATTCCATCTAGTCCTCTGCTATCATGTTCACCTTCCACTTGAGGACATGAGTGTTAGCGTATGCTCGATTCATTTCCTTCTGCATATTTGTTGGGTAATTGGTACTTGATTGGTCTGCTGCCTCGCAGAGTTCCTTGGTTATTTCTCTTTCCCACCAGCCATTTGATCTCCAAAACCGAATGGAGGCATCTGTTAATGATGAAAGGTTCCAGTAAGCCGTGGTAAATGCTTTTGATGATGTGTACGCAGAATATCTGAGGCACTGAATTGACATTAATGTTGAGGATTCAGATGTCATTTCCAGATTTAGTAGGAATGTAAGCGTCTGTCTTGCTTTCATGACCCAATCATGACTGGTTTTCACATCCTCAACTGGACCGCCTGTAGATACGATCCTGAAGAGGTAATTAGTGATGCTGATTCGTGTTTGTTGTCGATTGCTGCAGAAAATTCAAAGCAAACTTCACAGGAAGGCTTGGAAATTGACTTAGTCATCATAAGGTACGACAATGGAAAACTAAATACGACACAGTGTGGGAAAGACAAAGGTTGAGTGTACTTCTTGCGTCTACATAGTATTGACTTTACACTTTCGACCATCAATATTTCTGCTATGCCCAGATATCTTGATCTCACTTCCATAAAAGGCTTGATCAGATCCTGTATTATAAGATTTTGAAGGGTTTCTTAAACAGAGCTGACTAGCTCGACTTCACAATTTGCTTTGTTACGTGAACTACTCCGTCCTACTCTTGATAATCAGGATAGGTAGTATTTGCAAGGGTATTTTACAAGTGGATGCATGATAAGACTGATGTACCCAGCAAACTAGTATACATATTTCAAAGTGGTGAAATACGTCAGCTTGTCTTTCATATGTTGAGAGAAACGGTTTTTTAGAGCTGACAACTAAGTATATTTTATTTCAAAGAAGTTCTGCTGCAGTATCATCTTTAAATTTGAAATTCATCGGCAAAATCACTTTTTTCCTGTTTTCCTACTTCGTTTCAGTGTGACCTCTGTGAGTCTAGATGAGCAACTATTTCCGAGTCAGGTTCTTCAGAGAATTAGCAGTTCTACTTGTCGAAATTTTTCGGATCCTTCAGGAAATGAATGGAAAAGATTCTATTTTCTGATTCGAGGTATAGAACCATCTGTCTCATGTAGGCTTTTGATAAAAAGAACCGTAGAGTGAGTTGTCACCTTTATTTAGGAGTTAAACACCAAACAAATTGGACGATGAGCACAATTTTACTCCTAGGATAAAGTTGATTTTTAGATTAGCCATTATTGAAGGTGTGGAGCGATTGTCGCTCATTGATTGTTGTTGATAAGAGAGTGTTTCTTAGACTTGCCATAAAATAGTTGGCTAAGATGCATTCCAGAGGATATTCCGTCATTGCATCATTTATTTGTATGAGGATTTCATCTTTGAGTCAGAAGTAGACATTCACTGTAAATCGAAGTAAGAGGTCTTGTAGTTAGTGACTCAGTACATAAAACAATCGATATTCCGGAATTGAACAGAACCACATAAAGGATATGAGTTTTCTTCTTACAACATTGGTAAAGAGGGTGACAGAGTCTACACATATTACCCTTAGGGATCGAAACCAAGATCTTCAGGTCACACGGAGAGCTCGTACACCATTCAGTCACCGAGACAGAACCCAGTGGCTGGTCCATGAAGTGTAACTTCTGCAAAATACAGCGCAACCGTCAATCAATGTCATCGGCGAGTATTTATCCTCAAATTGAATCTGATGAACACCACTGGTCACGGCTTTTCACTGAAATCACATAGGGCTTCGTCTGTAGTCACACACTAGCAAATAATAGATTAATTTCAAGTTAGATCGCGAAATGACTACAAACCGCTGCAAACTAACAACACTCAAAAATTAATCTAATGCTCACCAGTGAACGACAACAGGATAAAGTTGTTCGAAGTTCTAGTAAGAAGCTGTGACAATGTGAGATCCATCAAGTTGGGTGTAAGGAAGAATACTCTCCCTGATGACACTGACTAGCGGTGATATTAATCTATGGGCCAACCATTGGATTCTGTACCAGTGGCTGAATGGTTGATAAGTTCGTTTTATAACCTGGCGATCCTGAGTTCGACCACCGGTGAGGTCATGGTGTGTGTGTGCCATTGAAGAGTCCCTAACTAGGACAAAGTACCACAGCTATTCTAGACAGTAATTCACCACATAACAATGAAACGCATACAACTGGTATTAAAACACAGATATATGTATATAATCACCTTTCCAAAGTAGGCTGAAATAATAGTATTATTCGGAAGAATATCAGGCATAATTGATAAGCGTAGAACAAATCTTTCTGATTCTGGTAAATCCCTGGCATGTTTACCACCTGGTAAAGCTTCCATTTTAGCTCTGAGTAAAATCAATTTAGCTTTTGTAGCTCGAGCACGATCACTTAGTGGTTTGGTGGTAGTTGATCCCTTTGGTTTATTTCCAATTGGTGTATGCGAAATAGCTAAACAAAAAGTGAAGTAGAAAGTGTTCTATTTACAGCAAAACCATCAGAAAAAACAGTCCATATTTCATAATAATAATATGTATGAACATGACCAAGGTAACAGGACACAAAAGTAAATAATGCAACTACGATGAAGTGGACCAATCGTACTCTATACCTAACCAGTAGACCATGTGGTTTCAATTCCACTTCACCTAAAGAGATATGATAATCCAAAAAGAACCAACAGAAGCCAACACACACTGGAGACTCTACTTACTGCTAAGGGCATGAACGTTCAGTAAGGGCAGATTACTTTGTCAGTTAAAAGAAAATTATAAAACAAATTGAACAATGCTATTCGCTGACAAATATTGGACGTATATGCGTAAGGATTTTACAACTATAAATATATGATAAAGAAGATTTGTAACCCAGGTGAATGATTTTGATGTAGATCTACAAAATCAGTTGCAACGACTGAGAAAAGCACTACATTGGCCAAAGTGGACGACGGCCTTTTCGTCTTCGTATCCATGACAACAAACTATCCATCAAAAGACATGACATTCACTGTGTTATATCTCTGTACACAGACAACCACGGACATCAATTCGACTGGGACAACGTTCAAATATTAGACTGAGGAAACACCGAGAATGCTAGAGAATTTTTAGGAACCTGGTATTCCAGTGAATCGTGAATCAATAGACACTTCGACAAAGACAAAATTTACAAATCGATAAGAAGGAAATCTCAGACACAAAGAGTCACAGTTCAAGCCAGGGAAACAATCTGTCTGTTTTCGACATAGAACTTTGCACCGATGTGCAGCAGTTCAAGTCGACACACACCCTCCATGTAGCACACAAAGCGAGAGAAGAAAGTAGAAGAAATGCATAATAGAGACAGTAGACAGGGATATGACACAAAAGAATAGTAATAATGAAGAAGAATATAGTTTCATTGGAAATTATAAGTAACAAAGAGCGGATGCATCTGCGCCAATCACTGAGAACGATTTTGAGCAGTATCACCAATTGTCTCCAGCCATTGGTTTTTACTGTCCCGAGAACCTCAACCCGGAAGTCGGCACCTTACTACGTGGCTGACTGGCTTAAACTAACTGTTGTGGATTTCATTGACTGGTGCAGCCATGTTTTGGTTTGACCGCCGCCAGCTCTTCTCCAGCCTGACCCTATGTCAGCTAACATTGCTCGTCGAGGAAGGCAGTCGATGTCTAGGCATGCGTAACACATATGCTAACCATCTCAATCGATGTAACTTCACAGCCTAGTAGACTGACTTCCCCTCCCTACCTAGCACTCGACGCCTAACCTCAATATTGCCCACCCTATTATACCACCTAACGCAGGAGATAGAACATAGACAGACACCTGTGATCAAAGACAGCTAGCCAGGCTTTCCATGTCTCCCACTTGCAACGCCCATGTATCCCTCATCACAGCCATAAAGGAGGGCAGAGTGGACTGCTGATCAGTACACCCGTCCTTTGGTCGATAGCTCCACAATACAAGTAGCCTAGAGGGTGTGAAAACACAAAAACAATCAATTGCGTTCAAAGTCACAAAGAGAGATGACTAATCAAGTCGTGGAGAAATCTAAAAGGCCACTTCAAATTGACGTAGGCGCTGAAGATGTTGTCTAGTAGGGCAACGAAAGCTTCACAAATAAACTATCCAGCACAGAGAACACAACTACATCAATTATTAATATCTACCTAAGATTGACTGATAGATCCATACAAAACCTTGCATAGCAACGCATCAGTTCTCTCACTTTAGAATGGAACACCTAAAAAGGGAATATAAATAGAATGACACTGTAATAGACAAACGTGGGTTGGAGAAATTCAGAATTGTAAAGATGTCAGCAAATTAAGCCCATATCGTCTATATCTTCCAACCAGTGATAATTAGCACCCCGAGAAATTTAACGTCAGCCAACTAATCCATACCCTTCTACATCGCTCAAACAAAAGGTCAGTCAGACAGTTAGTCATGACCTCTTAGTAATACGTTCGGGTTACCTGGATCCAATTACGTAAAAAGAATAAGCATCATCTGCAAAATCACCATTTATGAGTATTCACAATTACACTACAACAAGTGATATTAATTCATTGTATATAATAACATCGTATATTCAAGACTAAATTAATTTACAGAGATTTTCATATTCTATAAACGCCATAAAGAGAATCAATGAAGAAGGAAAGCGTTTCGGCCCCTGCTACGATTCTTGTGCGTCGGTGGCACAGTGGTTAGGACTCTCGCCGACCATGAATATGGTCCGGGGTTCGAGCCCACGCCGGCGCACACCTGATATCTATGGTCGGCCTGCGAAATTCGGGCTACCGATATCCATGCTGAAAATTCCATACTTGTACCAAAAATACAGTGTGGAAATCAAGCTGTAAATCTAAAAAAAATCTCTTTATCGGAACATACTATTTCATCCTCCCGCTGTAAAATTGCACAACTGACATCATAATCTACATTGGATAGTCACAAAACACTATTTTGATGTTGTTTTAAATAAATGCTCCACCCCCATTGTCAAATTACTACATAAATAGTTACTCTTTTAACGTTAAATAATTGTCTACTTACATCATCTTTGGAATTATGTTGCCTGTAATACTCTCTAACGAGAACTTGAAATCACTGTAAAAACTATGTTCAGACACCATTTTGTAACTTATAATTGATTTATTTAGAATGCACGTTGGTGAAGAGAATCCACCGAAATAAAACCAGCTCGTATAATCCTGCAAATATGTTCGTTCTTTCTTTATTGTGTGTGTGAACAATTTCTGCTTCTTTAAGTAGCAGAATCTATTATGTGCTATAAAATATTACTCATAGGATAAATACTCTTAGTAATATTGTGATGAGAGCTTTCTGTTAGGCGAAATTGGTAGACAGTAATTTACGTCAATGTTTACGTCCCGAATCAGGGTCAGGAGAGAAAACAAGTATAAGGCCTAACTTTGAGGAACTCAACAACCAATCACAGTAGACTTAGCGTGGGCGGATACGATTAGCAGATATATTAGCAGACTGTCTAAGAAACAGCAACAGAGAGATAACAGAATAGCCTTTATAAGGAAAGCAACCAATCAGAAGACGTTGGTTCTCTGCTAACAATAACGAATATTAATGTACACTAGAATACATAAATATCTGTTGGTTTTCTCAATAAAGGTTCTGCTGTCTGGCCCTTGTCTTCTGTTGTTACAATATTAGTGATTTATGGTCTCTGAGTTAGGTGATTTATTTGCGAAGCCTTATTTGTTTTCCTAGACAGCCTATCCAGCGCAAACGTTAATATAAAGTGAGCTTTAGGAATTCCCCATTAGTTTTATTGCATTAGTATTGACCGTTATGTTAATCTAATAGAAGACCTTTTTTCCAAGTGACTTCCCTCTTAGTTTCTGATAAATTTGATGTAGATTCGTTGGAGTGTCAAGCTTCTGGGAATTTGTTCTATCTAAGATTTGTCCATTTTCCCAATTAAATTGATATCCCTGGTTGTCTGTATGCATTGATATGAGGAGATAGATATCATATTTTTTGACAACCAGGCTATGGATATGGATGTGAAGACGAAGATGACGACGTCCCCTTTGATCCACATACTATTTTTCACAGTTATTGCAGTTTATCATGCAGACAATGTCAGCTTTGCCTTCTTTTGGTGGAAAACAGACAAGCTAACACAAATCACACTAATCAAATAATAAAAAGTAAGTTACTCGGACAAAAGGTCAACTATCAAATCAACAAAATAATCTATACCAATAAAAATAAACAAATGAACGAGGAAGTTTCTATACATAAACAACTGTTTTCAAAGTCACCTGGAGAAACGGTTAATAAAACTCGTGGAGAATCCTTAAAACACACTTCATATTGAAGTCTGACTGACTGTTTTCAATGTAGAAATTTGCACACGCGTGAACCAGTTCGAGATACCACACTGCATGTAGCACACAAAGTAGAAGAGAGTGAGGAGAGATTCAAAAGACAGAGAGATAATAAACAGAAATATGAGGCAAAAGACAATAGAATTGTATCTGCGCTACTCACCGAGAACCAGTTTGAGCCAATTGACTCCAACCATTGGTTTTTACTATTCCGAGGACCCAAACCAGGAAGTTTACGCCACACACACCCCTACGTGCATTGAACTGACTGTTGTCGATTTCAAAGACTGATGCCAAGCTTTCTTTTTTTCTAACCTGATCCTATGTCAGTCAGCTAACCGATATATACAGGCCTAATTTTCTACATGTTATTTTTATACGTATGTTTGTATTTCTCTCACCCCACTTATGACCTTTTAATTCCTATTGGTTGTTCACCGTCTTGATTTGTCAATGACACTACTGCTACTCAAGGTCACTTTTAAGCATATATGTGTACACAGGCGCTGTCAATCTTTTCTGATTGTTGTTTTTGAGACAGTAAAAAGCCGTCTTACCATCGCCCAGTTCTCTTTTCTGTCTTTGCAGCCCGGCAGTATAATTGTTGTTGCCGTTGACATGCAATTATGACAGATTAAGCCAGCGCATTAATTTCTGATCGAGGAAGACGATGGCTTGGCACGTGTAAAACATGCCCTAATCATCTCAATCGGTGTAACTTCACCATGTCGAATGATTTCTCCTCCTTGGCTAGCACTCGACCGATGCCTAACCTCAATATTGCTTAGCCTATTATACCAACCGAAGCTTGAGGATGTCTGTTATCTAAAAGAATAATGAAAGCATTGTAAATAAACCTATCCAGAACAGAGAACACAACTCCACTAATATCACCCAATTGAGTTATAAATCTTCAGAATCATCTCTGACTTTTAGTAATGCAGTACATTTTTTTCGCCTTACAATAAAACATTTCAGCAAAGTGATAAAAAGATAATCAATAAAGCAAATAGAAGAAACCAACCATTTAAAGCAGCTCGATCGACAACAACTTTAGTTGATTGGCTTTTATCCTTTTGATTCGATTCCAAGAAAGGACATTCATGAACTTCCTTTTGTTTATGACTAAACAGAGGAATAAAAGAAATGGGTTTTTAAATGTTGGTTTGTAGGGATTTGGTTGGTTACAGCATTTCATCATGAGAACAATTGGAAAACCTGCAGGGAGCACTGGACAGCCGTTCCGTCAGCTTTGTTTGGAACTCTTCAGCAGTACGTAGCCACCGGGGTCCGGACCCAGGACCTTTTGGTTACAAGACTAGCGAACTCGTAGACCATTAAGCCACTGGGACCCGATCCAATGGTCAGCCCATGAATTCTGCCAGCTTCTGCCAATTCATGACATAGCGCGACCCCTAGCCAATGTCTTCGGCAAGTATTTGTTCTCACACCCGACCTTCTGCACCCTACTGGTCACTTCTTACTAGAACTCCAGGTAACTACCTACCTGAATAGGACAAGTCTTTTTTCTTCAAAAATACTGAGTATTGTTTAAAGGTGAAGCGAACACTCACCGGAATGATATACAATATGACGAAAAGAAACCATAAATGGAAGTAATCTTGAAGTTGAAGCTGAAAATAATGCAAGAATGACTATTTTCACTAGAGAAGTTTAAATTGACAAGGTAACCTGTCCTAGAAGACTAACAGTATTACATAATGACACCCTTGGGTTTTGAGTAGAACACAGGGCTTCTGTGACACATCTCCACTTCAATTACCTGTCTTCAGTCTTGTATTTTCCCTGGCTCGACGACTGCCCACAAGCTTTCAATTCTGTCACACACACACACACACGCCTACATGATTTCCCTCATGTTACTCTTGGATCCAAATCCAATTCATCTTTTCCCATTCGGACTCTACTGCAGGGGCTACCGTATGCGGGGTATCAATAATAGTATGAGTTTGTATTTCAGAATACTTTTTATTTAGGATGCTTTTCGTCTCATATATGCGTCGGTGGCACAGTGGTAGAATGCTCGCCGAACACGCATGTGATTTGGGATTCAATCTCCGGCCACCAATGCACTCCCAAACCTCGCTAAGCCAGTAATAAGATTGGTAAAGAGGGGAAGGTTGGGTGCAGGGCTAGCAACCCTATCCAGTAAAAATTAAATGTCATTGCTACCGAAACTTTAAGCCTCTAGCTTGAAACCCAATATTCCACTGGGAACATTAAGAAACAAAAGTAAAGTAAGTTTCGTCTCACATAGGAGTGATCAGTTGAATTCACTTTCACTCTAGTATATGAATACTTCTACATACACCTGACATTAAAATACAATCCGGTTATCTTTTTAAATTTTTTATTCTTTTACGTTCCCAGTGGAATACAGGGCTTCAAGCTAGAGGCCTGAAGTTTCGGTAGTAGCAGTGGTTGGTAGCCTCATGCCCAACCCTCCCTCTTTACAAGTATTTTTACTGGCCTAGTGAGGTAAGGGAGTGCGTAGATTGGGGATCGAAACCCGAACCACATTAGGCGTGATTAGCGATCAATCTACCGCTGTACCAGCAATGCACCAAAATACAGTCTAGTGGACTATTATATTTCCACACTTGCTTACTCTAGTTGTTTAAAAAATCATTTGTGTCTGACGGTTTGTATTACCAGGCTACCCGTGTGAAAGATGTCTCAGTATTTGCTTTATAGGGACTTATATTGTTGATTAGACCTTCCGATTAAAGATATGCAGTTCATTTATAAAAGGAGTAATTATTCACACACAAACACACACACACACACACATAAAACTAAAGGGTGAAGAGAGTACAGCTATCATAATAAGCTTATGACTCTTTCAACAGAAATGACTCTTTATCAGTTAAAGTGATAACACTGTCCCATCCATGGGTAGACTTCAATTAGAATCGAATTAACTGACCACAGGAGAAAAGAAGAATAGTAGCACCTCCATCCTCGATCATCTTGTCAACTCTGGGCATCGAGCACACATGCATGAATGCTTCACAGTGCTACTCATAATGCCTCAATATCGTAAGAAAGGACTTTGAATACGCCATCTGTACATAGCTGAATCATTGGCTATTCGGGATCTGAAACCGGAGCTCTGTATTCAAAATCATCACATACATCCACTCGCCCTACTGTACACAGAATAGCTTTCTTACCATAATTTTGCTTCGTTTACTATTATTATTGTTAATATTATTTTATTATCATGATTATTCTCACCATCCATATTTTATTGTTGTCACTCTATTACTGTTTATTAATAACAGATTTTATAAAAACACTTTATCGTTTTTCCAGTAGTTCTTGTCCACTCTACACAATTATATTGATTAGTCATTTTCCAACACTTATTACGTCATGCCAACTTCTGTCTCTTTTCTAACTTCCAGTTAACCACCCAGTTTGGGTTACATCTTACATTACGTAATGCGTTTTTCGAGGACAGATTTTACCAGTATCTGATCGGTTGTCTTATGATTTCTTTGTTAAATATAATTAGGATTGTACAGCTTATGAAAATGAATTGTCGAAATCGAAATTTCCTTTGATGGTATTAGATGGTTGGAGGCAATCGACAGGAAGCCTTGAACCTAAGTTTCGTGCTAGTTGCCACTCGTCATCAGGGCGTATCTGCAACCTTGAAGGAACTCATATCCCTCCTGAGATTCGAACCCGCGTCACCCAGTGCTACCTGCAGTCAGAGACGTTACCACTGAGCTATTCGGGCTCGCGATTGACCTCCTGTTTACGCCTTTTTCTTATAGTGAAAATATATCAGATTAGGGATCTGTCATGTGGAAGTCGAGCACCCAGATAACTGTTGATGTTAGCATGTACACACTTCTCATATGGTTTTCGTTTTTTTTTTTTTTGAATCACTGAGCTACCTGAATTCAATCCAATACATTATAATAAATTTCCTCTAATTCTTTACCCATTCAATTATGCTGTTGAGTAGCAAAAGAAACTCACGCATATTTTTAATGGACTTTCTATCTGTCGGTAAGCATATCTCAGAGACAAAGGAAAAACATCACAGAGGATTATTCCATACTCCGTCACATTATAAACCACAGATTGCTACTTTATTTGAAGATACTATATAAAGAGAAAGTATAATGAAGTAAATTACGCTAGGAGTCTCTTACATTTTTGTTCAGAATGCAACTGTTATAATAATTATATTATTAGCACTACAATCCAGCACATGAATTTCGTCCTGCTTGGAACTCTTCAGATGGCTGTGCCGACAATCCTCTTGTTAGTCACCATCCATCCACCAAATAACGTCATGTATAATCGTCAAACATCATCTAACAGTCAGTACTAGGTGTTGAAATGTCAACAAATAATAACTGGTACCCATCGCACAAGAGGTGACTGTCGTGGTTGAAGTGACTTGGAGGATAGTGCCTTAGCCTTTGAAAGAATGGATGTAGGTTTCAAGTCAAAATGGCTAGACCAATATGCACTGGTAATTGCAGGTACATCCAGCTGCCGTGTCCTCAGTAGGACGAAGTGTCCATCCTGGATTCCAATGCTAATAATAATATAATATTAATAACAGCTTTATTCTGAAAAAAAGTGTTCATACAGTGTACAAGGTTATCAGTTTAATTTATTACTACTTAATGCATCCTCTTCACGATTTTTAAGTAAAATAGCAATCCATAGTATATGTGATGAAATGCTGTTCGGTCTGAAGCATAGAATAATCCCCTATGATATTTTATCTTGTCTCTGAGATTTGCGTACCAATAGATGGAAAGCTAATTAAAAATATACGTGAGTACATATTGACATACAAGGGTATAATTGAATGCTTAAGCAGATTACTGCCAGTCAGGGGATCAAAGGTTTGAAAATCACTGTATCCACTTCACCATGAGTGACTGATTGGTAACATTAGACCTTACACAACACCTGTGGATCATAGCCTAATGAATGGTAAATACGTCAGGGATAACTGACTTCTAACACTGTATTGATCTCCACTCCCTATGTATATTTCCCATCTGAATAATTCGTCAAGCAGTAGTAATATTTAAAATTTATGTTACAGTCGTCCATTCACATTTGTATTGACAAGAATATACTTCGCAAACTAGTTGATTTCCAAACGAAAGGCAATCTCCGAACAGATAGTTGTCTCCTCCATGTTTGCATCTATCTATTTTGAAGATGATGAGCAGAAAAGAATCTCAGTTATCCCTCAACTATCAGTATTAGATACCGAAATTTAATGATGATACTATCAATAGGACAATTGGTCATCAACACCTAATTTACACTGTGATATTCAAAAACGAAAGCAAACAGTCCGTACAAATATTATGGACATAAGTAGCACTCAGAAAAGCCGTATGATAATCAAATAAAGTTGTATATCACTAGGACAGTGAACTAACTACACATAGTAGACAGAGACTGGTGGGAAGGAAATGTAAAGTGTTACTCAGCAACCACTTCTGACTCGATGCAGTTGGCAAGATGTCACGCACATATATATTGTGTATGAGTGCTTCTGATACCAACCCCATCTAGCTGCCTGAAAATCTCTACGTGAACTCAGTGATTAAAAGACAAGTGAGTCACAACTTCAATAAATGAAAAATTCAACTCCTGAGGAGTTCAGAATAGAAAAAAGACTCAAATTTATTTTCATTACATTTGCAGTATAAACAATGTTAATGTATTGGTGGTTCAATCGTTGAAACCTCGAGAACCACGCAATTGGTTCGGGGATCGATTCCAGGCCGAAGTACTCCCGAACCTCGCCTAGTTAACTGACCAATAGCAAGGTCGGAAAAGAGGGAAGGTCAGATATGAGGCTAGCCATCCTACCAACACCATCACTACTGAAATTTCAAGGCTTTGAGGCTGAAGTCGTATGTTCCATTTGAAAATAAAGGAATAGAAAAACCACTAACAATGTTGATACATGTAGCAGAAGTCTTTGTATGACTTGAATGCAAAACGCAGTCGCCTTGTTTGAAAGCACAGTCATTGAAATTATGATCAGCAACGACTAAGTGACCTCAGGTTAGATAATTCGGGTTGTCGTCCGTAGCTCTGCATGAGTGACATTCTACCTCTAACCATAAATTAGAATACTTTGGTTAAGATAACTTTATTGAAGCTCATAAGGTAAACAACATCATCTTCATCTATCAAGAAAATGAATTTTGAATATTTTATTCCACTGACCTGATACAGAAATTTCCATTGCATGTTTCACAAGTTAACAGCACTAATTGTCGTTCACCGCATTGATGAAAATCACAAACATTACCGGTATTATCTTCACCATTATCAGTATCACAATACTGACTATGACTATACGGCGAAAAAAAAGAAAAGAATTTTGAATCAAGACCATACAAAAAACGCCAACCTGATAGACTCTTGAGGATAGGAAGGATTTGATATAGGACAGTTATGCGCTGTCAAGGAACTGTGATTCTTGCTGTGAACATTCAGAAAAGGAAAGAAAAGAAAAACTAAGGCATTAAAACGAGATTAAAATATTGACTGGTAAAATTAAACATCGAATTAATAAGATCCACAGATTTCTATTCAAAAGCAGGGTAGACTTTAAAGTGATTAACAGATAGATTAATAAAAGCACTAGACAACTTATGAAGTTATAGGCTCCACAGGGAGTCACGTTAGTGATAATGCCTGGGACTATACCACTTTGTACGCAGAGTTTCGGTTGTTCTAATCATATTCCGATGGCCTCTACTGTTTGAGGCATTCAGTATCTAGAGGCTTTTCCCAATGTATTGGATACCTGACAGATGATAAAAAGAGATTCTTTAGTGTTAGCTGTATGGCTTGTTGCGACTAGGAAACCTATTATTGAACCGTTGATGGTTTTTACTGGGCCCTTATTTAGCCACACTGGTAAATACTCCTGAGAACGAACAACTAGGATTCTAAAGCGACGGCCAGTACACCTGGTTACATAGGAGCCATTGGATCGATAAATAGCAGTAACTAGTTTAGGCACTTCATCTATCACAGTTGAGAAAACACAACTGGTTGTGTGGAAAATATGAGCTGCAGTTTACCGGTATTATAAGTTCAGATGTAATTGCATATGACACCTAAATTGAAAGTATCTATCAAGAAAAGCTTATTATGAAACGCATGCCCAATACATTTCTGCATCTGTAAACAAGTAGTCTCCATAAATGCGACTGCAATTCGAAGGTCACATTCCAAATGAAATAATAACTAAGAAGCTAGGAAAATCGATTTACAGAACAACCGGATTTCAGTGTACAAAAGAAACACGTTCAGTCAGTGTTACTACCCTGGTCTTCTGTGGTATCTATGAATTCATAAATTCCGTATTACTTTTCTAATTAATCTGATATACGACTCAGTATTGTATACACGCATATATTCACACACAAATCTGCACCGAAACCTACTGATCGTAATAACGCGTTATTTTTTCATTCCTCTACTTTCCCAGTGGAACATAAGACTTCAACCTAGAGCTTTGAAGTTTCGGTAGCAGTGGTGTATATTTTTACGGGGTTGTGTTTCTAGCCTCACGTCCAACCTTCTCTCTTTAGCTGCCTTGATTGATTACCGGCTTAGCGTGGTTTACGAGTGTGTCGGTCAGGGATGAAACCCTAAACCGCGTGAGTGGTTCACGAGCGTCCTACCGCTGAACCACCAACGCCCCATAGTCGTTATTACTTCCAACACTTATGAACTGTAGAACCTGATGAGGAAGTTATCGAAAAGAATATACTTTTCGTTTATTAATCAATCTTATGATAAATCAGATACATGGATCCCTTCTTATCTGACTGACTGAATTCACAGCTAAGGGCTTCGCAGAAAAGTGTAGTATTTCAAGCTGGCAAACTTCATATAGCTCAACACAAAGGTAGAGAGAAAAAAGCTATAATGAGAGCATAAATGTACGTGAGAAAGTAAAGTGACATGGGAAAAAGCATCAGGATTTAATGGATTTGGGAAATAAAAAAGGGTAAGTGCATCTGCGCTACATAGAAAGCTTTTGGATCACATCACTAACAGTCTCAAGTCACTGATTTTTAGCATCCTAAAGACCCCAGACAGTTTACACCTTCCTACATGGCTGGTTCAAACCAATGGTAGAAGACTTCATGGATTAATTCTGCTTTTTAAGCAACTAGTTATAATTCTTTTGTAGCATTGCATTTTTAAGTAAGTAATGTGATATTTAGAGAACATAGATCTGTCAGCAGGAAGTATTGTAACTAGGTTGTCTGTTTGTTGGTATATGATGCAAATTATTCCGAACAAACATGAAACGTCGGTCCAGGGTTTCTTATAGACTGAATCAGATCAGTGCACAACAGTATCTGTCATATCAGGCTGCACACACTGGTAACACTGAGGATTTAAGTATCTGCATTAGTCACTGCAGTGTAACCAATTCAAATATACCCTAAATTAGTGGAAAAACATAGCTAAGCAGTATCTGGGATTGGTGGACTGTAAGTTTTAGATTTCCAGTGAATTGAGTTGAACCTCTAAAAATATAAGCTGACAGAACATACCAATTATTTGAATGTGTGGCGCAATTCATCAGTGCCATCGCTTTGTATTCGATTGGTATACACTTCCTTATCAGAACTTAAAAGTATTTTGTGGAAGTGATTAGTGGGTACTTAGGATCAATTCAAGGTGAAAGAGTTTGGAATCAATCGTGAATATGAAAACTGCTTCCTTTGTGGGGAAAAATTATATAAACAATCCCTGCAATTTAGATGGTACTATATTTATTTATTTATTTATTTGGTTCATTTAGCCACATTTATCCTTGAAGATACCTTCATCGATATTGTAAACTGGTATGGTGCAATGGCAGAATAATTTCCAACCCTCATGCAGGAGATCCGGATTTCATTTCCAGTCAGAACACACTCCTAAACCCTGCGATCATTCGGTAGTAAGATATGTATAGACGAAGGCTAGTAACCACACCGCATAAAAACCAACACCACCACAACTAAAACTTCAAAGTCTGAAGCCGAAAACTGCAAATTGACTAGGGATGAAAATGTTGAAGACTCATAAAAAAACCCTTGATTCCACGTAGTCACAATCAATCCTATCGAAACTGGTTTAAATATCAATGGGGGGGTAATGACTGCAAGTGATCTTTGATGAATATTACAATAAACGACAAACAGCAGTTGAGGTATGCTTCTTATCAGAATGGCTACTCGAGTTATGGTAAATTAAATCTGCAATTGGCAATTTGCGAAGTTTAGCGGGGTGAAATCCCACCAAAATTTCCTTCCTTTCTTGGTTACCACTTAAAGCATTCAAGCATATCATTTATCTTGATATGAATAATTTTGGTTTCCAAAAACAACCTGGTGAAATTTCACCAGTTCACTCAAGTAGCTAGCCAGCATCCGGATGCCTCGAAGTGATTCAGCTATCTGGGTTGATTACAGGTGTGATCATGAGTCGACGTCAGTAAGAGAATCCTTGACAGTTAAACTGAGTCAGGTAGGGAGATGCAGACTTCCGGGTTGGGGCCCTCGGGACTGACTCTAAGAATCAATGGCTGGAGACAATAGGTGACATGGCTCAGAATCGTTGTCAATGGCGCAGATGCATATTCAGTCTCTGTAATCTTTCATATTCCTTTCTGCCACTACCCATTCTGTCTCGCTCTTATACCTGTCAAACTCTATTGATTCTGTTCACTCATCTTCTTGTCTACCTTTGTGTGCTATTTGGAAGGTGGTAGCTCGAACTGCTGCACTTCGGTGCCAAGTTCTATGCTGAATCCAGACAGACAGATAGACAGTAAGAGAACCACCGGGAAACCTGAGAGTACTGGACAGATTTCCCATCCTAGTTTGTGACTCCCCAGCAATACGCGTCCACAGGGTTCAAACCCAAGACCCTCAGATTGCAAGGCTAGTTTGTAGATCTTTCAGCCATCGAGACCCAACCCAAGAGCTCATGACTTCTACTTTTAGGTGAGTGAAACTGGGTACACCATCGCTGGTGAGTTCGACGCCGAACATGCAAAACAACCCTCCGATGTTTAGAGCACTTCGATGATGATTTGGCTAGCAAGCAAGCACTACTACTGGTTAATGTGATTGGTTTACAACTACTTATATCAATTAATCAGTAGTGTATGGTTTAACGAGTTAGAGGCACATGGTCTGTTAGGCTTGCAGAAACACTGACGAACAAATATTAAAATCTAGAAGTAATCAGGAAACTGTTATCCTGACTGTGAAGTATAAGTTTTCTTTTCAAAGATCATTACAATAGTGTCAGCATACTTAGTGTGAAAAATTCAGAGACACAACCGGTATGCTCATTAATCTCAATCATTAATTAACGATAATTATAGAAGTATATAATCGATAGAAGGTATACAATATTACAAAGATGAATAATATGCACAAATCAGTAATTGTCTAATATCAAAGTATCTTTCACATAGCCGGTTCCCTTTATTATTTTTAATAAAGAAAAAATGAACATATTCGCAGGATAATGGGAGCTATTTTGGATTCTCTTCAATTATATGCATCCTAAATAAATCAATTATATGTTACAAAATGGTGTCTGAACACACTTTTCACAGTGATTTCAAATTGTAGATAGAAAGTATAAGCGAAATAATTTGAAAGATTGTACCAGGGTATTATGAGCTGATCTTTTATTATTTATTTCGAGGATTCTTCTCAACTGGTTACAACCTGAACGATAAAAAACATGAATGACATCAAAGATTTGAACATGCTTTTCCATGATCACACAGAGTAATTGGTAAGAAGTAAAAGTAACATTAGTCCGGAATGAATTAACTAATTAAAAGTTACAAACACTAACTATTTATAGAATAATTAGACAATTAGGCTTGGAAACTAAAACAAACAAAGAGAAAAAGAAACCTAGCTTGCTACGCTTTGCTGGAGCAATTCCTATTAAACGACTTAAACCGAATCTACCTACGCAGAAAGAGACAGTGGTGAGTCTTGCACTGCCCTGGTGATAACAAAATATACAACTTTTATGAGTCCCCTTTTTTCTTGTTTAGAAAACTCTACTCTTTCATCTAAACATGACTCACCCTACCTTGTTCTTTTCTTTTTTGTCTATTGGTTATTAGATAAAACATTTTCTTTAGTTGGTGGAATGGTGACTAGCAGTGGAATCCAGCATGTACATTTCGTCCTATTTGGGACTCGTCATCTGGATGTACCTGCATTTCTCAGTGAGTGATGATGTTCCAGCTGAGCCTCAAACCCAGTACCCATAGTTTCAAACGCCAAAGCGTTACCCACTAGACCACTTGGGCCACGACAGCCACCTTTTGTGCAACGGGTCATATTGATTTAGTTGAATTTTTGACTTTTCCGTCGATTGATTGGACCGAAGTGCTAGGTCTCAGGTTGACATGTCGGCTTCTTGAGAAGATGCTTCGACGATGTCTGGGCATTTGATTAGTATTTAATTGGTGGATGGTGACTAGCAGTGGAATCCAGGATGCACATTTCGTCCCAAATAGGTCATTACTAAAAAATTACCTGCTTATGATGGCCATGGCAGGGGCAGCGGACAGGGACCCCATGGCCATCATGAACAGGTAATTTTTTAGTAATGACCATCCCATCGTCTTTCTTATCTAAACTTCCTGTTTATTCATGTCATTTTTTAAGATTTTCTTAATCCCTGTTTACACTACCATATTTTATACCCGAACTTCGTGTTTATTTTGTCGTTTTACTATTTCTACATATTTAATCCCTGATTGCATAAACAATTATTCATTCCATTAGTTTTTTTATCCAAACATCCTGTCTATTTTGTTATTTCTACATTCCTAACCCCTAATTGCACAATGTCAATCTTCTTAATTATTATGATGCTACTTTGTTTGTTTTATCCGTCCCCCTGTTTATTATGGCATCCTAATTCCTAATTTTAATTTTTATTAATTTTACCCTTAACCGGAAATTATTCTGGAACTTTCCCATCCATTTGATATAAATACACGAATGTACAGCTGTCTAGTTGATGACTTCGTCGAAAAGAAAATTTCCTTCGCTGCAATTGTCTTCTTAATAACTCTTAATTAGTTAAGTCATTCCTACTTCCTACCAATTACTCCTTGTGATCGTGGAAAAGTATGTTCAAATCTTTAATGTAATTCATATTTTTTGTCGTCCAGGTTGTAACCAGTTGAGAAGAATCCTCGAAATAATAAAAGATGAGCTCATATTATCCTGGTACAATTGTTGTTCTGGCTTTGTTCAAGTTTATTAATTGGAAGAATTGCATGAAATTTGAGAGACGATGTAAGTAGACAATTATTTAGTGTTAAAAGACCAACTATTTATGTAGTAATTCTACAGAAGGGTGCAATTTAGATTTCTCCTGGAGACAAGAATGAACTAGAGATAAAATACAAGATAGAACAAAAGAGTTAATTTTTACATATAACTATAATTCCAAATCACTGTAGAAAGTATGTTCCGACACCATTTTGTAACATATAGTTGATTTATTTAGGATGCACGTAGTTGAAGAGAATCCACCAAAATAAAACGAGCTTGTATTATCCCGCAAATATATTCGTTCTTTCTTTATTTAGACCAAAGTGTCTACGCACAATGTGGTGACTAAGCTAGTGTGGTTCTATTCGCCAACTGATGTATCAAACCTAAGAATATGTTAAATACCTTCAAGATACCGTTAAGATAGCTTAAACTTACCAAAAGATACGACCACAGAGTTCACAATTGATAGGCAGGAAATCTGAAAGACAAAACATCCAAAGTGTTTTTTTTACCTGCCGTTAATTTACATTTTCAATTAAAAAAGGCCCCACAAAGCGCTATACATGGTGAAATGGAAATAATAAGGGAACATGTGATATAAAGTAATATGTATTGGTGAAGGATTATATATCATTTGTTTGCACTTTGCAAACAGAACCAAATGATGGTAATGTGGGTTGACACCACAAGCCATTATTGCATCAGTTTTGACCGACAAAAATACTATGGAAGATCTAGATTTATGTCCAGATGTCACATAAGGTCGAAGATCCAAACGAGAAAACCAACAAACTAGCGAAAGAAATAATGAAGACAAGACTCCAAGTGGACGATATTTGTATTTCCAACATTGCCGTTAACACTCAACGCTTCTATATGGTTCAGAGATTTACCGCTCGCGTCACGAAAAGCATTTCCAACAGGCTTCCTACTTTCACCAGCAATTGGCTTTGCTTGATATTCAAGATAAAATGGCCAGAAATGATAAATGACAGGGAACTCTGGGAACAAGCAAACCAACAACCTACTGCATAACAAATATACCCAAGGAAGTGGAAATAGATCGGACAAACTCTGAGTAGACAATTGAGTGACATCGCGCTGCATGCTCACAACTGGAACAAGGACGGGAAACGATGAGTTGGGCATGCGAGAATGACATGAAGCAAATCATGTCCAGAGAACATGAGAGCTTATGGATAATTTTAAAAGGACTTCAGAAAAAAAGATTAAGTGAAGATGTGCTGTTGAAGCATTATGCCCTACTCGGAACCCAAGGGAATAATAATAAACACACACGAATCCTTCACTATATATATTCCACTTCCACTTAGAGTTATTTTAAATTGAATAAAATGCATCTGTATCACTAATTCTCACGTCTGTCTAATCATTGTTCTGATTATTCGTACCATCTAAAGCGATAAATATTTCACTGAGATTATCTGTGTATTTCGTTACGGATGTATGTAATCAACATTCCGCCAGATACAACAGAGATTCAAAATTGCAACCCACATCAATGTCAATTCGTTTTTATTTCAAAATGCAGACTAATTATGTGATTATTCACCTTCTATACAGATATATACAGCATTCATATTTTCCAAAAAAGCGCAAATTCCCTTCCTCATTCAGTGTTAATATGAACTATGTTCTAACATATTCACATAAGATTAGTGTAAAAGTGCACATGCCAGCACACACTGTTTACAGTGCATAAAACAAAAAAAGACTAATAATAATGATTAAATATTTTGTTTTGATGACTATGAATAACTTAAAGATGATTGGACAAGGATTCTAAATACAAAATAATAATAATAATTTGCATTATTCCAAAACAGTACTTGTGATACAGAATGGAAAATGTGACCTTGCACTTATTTATTGATTGATTTTGATGTCACTGAGATTCATACAAATATAATTTTTACACATGTATTAACGTAGAGTTAACTGAAATTGGAGTTAACTGATTGTTTCAAAGTATGAAAAAAAGAGCGAAGTCTATAAATCTTTCTACGATGATGAAGCAGTTCAGTTCATTCAATATCATAATCAGTAACATTATGCGTAAACACACGAAAATCCTTGATATATATTATACATAAAAAGAAGGAACTTCTCAAGGGAAAATTACACAAAACAACGAAACTCAATACTAGCCAGGTTCACGAAAACTCCTTCCAAAGTGGGAAGGACCATACACAATCACAAAAAGACGGGATCAGGTATAGACCATCCGAAGAGGTACCAAACAGAAACGAGTTAACGCCAGTCAGCCCCAACGATGGGTGCAGTGGGACAAGCCGGTCCGTAACAATCCTCAACTAGAGGATGTATCACCCAGAAGGTCGGAACGCCTGCGCGCGAAGCTACTTGACGGGGGGACGAGTGTGGTGAGAGATGGCTGCTAGCCAAATTGGTAAACAATAATTGACGTCAATATTTATGTCCCAAATATTAGTCATGTGAAAACAAGGACAAGATTGACTTTGCGTAGGCGGATACAGTTAACATATATATGATCTGATATTCAAGAAACAGCCACAAAGAGAGGCAAGGTTAACTTTTTGTGAGAAACAACCAATCAGAAGACTGTGTTTTTCTACTAACAATAATCTGTAATATGCACATGAAAATCTATAAATGTGTTGATTTCCTTAATAAACGATCTGTTGCCTGACTCTTGCCTTCTGTCGTTACAGCGCCTAGTGCTAACCAAGTATTTGGTTCCGGCCGAAGCACTGATAAACCTCAATTAGCCGGTGTTGAACTCGGTGAAGAGGCAAGGGTGAGCGTAAGGCTGCCAACCCAACCCCGTAACTGAGACCTCGAAACTCATGCTTGAAGCCCTATGCTCCACTCGAAACGCAGACGAATGAGAAAAAGTGTGAGGAGTCAGTGCATTCATCCCCACTGATTCGATACTTCTACATAAGATTCTAATGAAAATCTTTAAGCGTATCGTCTGACAAAAGAACTGAATCACAAGTGATCACATAAGCATATTCCTCATAAAATCAATACTTGTGTTGACTAAACATTCCACTCAGATACAAATATCAATCAAAATGGGAGATTAAGAAAAATAATTTATGATGAAAACAAGGAATACTTACCTAACTGTTTGCAATCCTCCTGAGAACAATGAGCTCCGATATTGAACTCAGTCATTATGGCTAGATGAAAATTAATAACAATGCCTTTTTTACATATACCTACAACGGTGGTCAGCAAAATGAACACAAAACACATGTGTATTGTTAAATGTTGAAAAGAAGCGATAATCCTGGATGAGAATCTGAGTGATGCTAACAATCCCAGGCTCGGCTGACATCTCTTCAACCTGAATCCAAGAGACTTTAATGACATGAAATATGCAACTGCTGGTACTTTAACACTTGCACCAAGGAAAATGAATTACGAAGCGTAATGAACTAACTACATGACACATTATCAGTGAGAATGAGGCTATTTAAACAATAGGTTTATTATTAACAAGAGTGAATTTGGCAGCGAACGAGCTAAGAACCTACACCAACGAACAATCTTGCAGAAGCAAATGTAGGTGGATTAGCTGGGGTAACCTTAAAGTGACACCATACATCAGGTCCTTGAGTGGAACAGGAATGGGAAGAGATGAGTTTGGTGTCTAAAGATGACCAGGAGAAGACCATGTGAACAGAAAACAAATGCTTGCCAGCAGTTGTGGAGCCAGCTAAAAATGATAGCAGAGAACCAATTGCAGTGGAGATGTGTTGCTGAAGTCTTACTCGGAAAGCAAGGAACGATCAATTATTCACTTGTAAATGTTGAAGAATGGATTATACTGTTATCCTTCCAAATAAGGACAGTGCCACAAGACAAGTGTTCTGGTATGCACAAACCCGGAATCGGTAAAATTGTTGGTGATGCAGAATTCCATTTCAATGGTGCATACAAAAGACTCAGATAATTTTTCAAACAACCGTTAACATATTAAGAGCTATTGTAAGAAAAACTTTTACATGCGCACATAGTGTTTTACAATGCAACAAGAGCGAAGTGCATCTGCCCTAACTTTATTTACTATTCAAATCGTACCATTTGTATTTCAGTTTTTTAGGATATAACTTGAGTTGGCATCTAAATCCCAGTGAATTGTACCCAAAGAAGCTTTCGATGATATATATATATATATATATATATATATATATCACATGAAAACTTACTGAAATATAATTGCAATTCGCCCTTCTCCACTTATGTGTATAACAAGAATATATTGCAAAATGATTTTGGTGAATAATTAATTTTTCAATAATTTCCTCTTCTAGCTTTACAATTATACATATGTTTACATAGATAGAGTATTCTAGAATAGTGGTCAATAAAATTCCATAAAATCTCCTGGCCACCACCAGGACCCATTTCGGCCAACATTTTCTTTGAGAAACTAGAAAATGGGCCTTTGAAAGATGTAACTGATGAACTTGAATTCTATTGTCGGTACATGGATGATACATTTCTGATTATGAAAAATGAGGATGAAGCAAAGAACATTCTGCACAAATTTAACGATGTTCATCCTGCAATAAAGTTCACTAATGAGAAAGAAAAAGACTAGTATTTCATTTCTAGACGTTCTGGTGGCCAGAAAAGAGGATGTCACAATAAGAAGTGTATACAAAAAACCTACACCAATTGGTCAGTTTACTCATTTTGTCAGCTTTGTTTCCTTGAAATACAAACGCAATCTGAGAAAGTGCTTGGTTCACACAGCAAGAGCAATCTGCTCGGATGAATATATTGATGAGAAACTCGATGATATTAAACGGTTGCTGAGTGAAAACGGTTATCCAGAAAAGTTTATTGATAAGAATATGAATCTGAAATCGAAACAACCCATAGTAAAAACAGTTCCTAAGAAGGCCTTATTCTTACCAATTCAGTTCCTCAGAGACAACATCACCGTGATACTAACACAACTCCTTAGAAATGAGGCAAAAACAGCATTCCCTGATGCTGAAATACGCCGTCCTCAGAATCACTCATATTTTGCGTTCGGAAGTAAAAGATAAACTGCCTAATTTCAACTCTTTCATGTGTATCTACCAATTTAACTAATCCAATGGAGCCAGTTCCATAGGTCGTAAAATTAGGCGTGTTTCTCGTCAGATTTCCGAACATCACCCTGAGTGGTTAAGTAAAAGACAAACAAAATCTATCCACAGCGCTGTTCTGTCTCATCTTGCGGATACAGAACACAAGATGTCAACGAGGCTTTCAAAGTCATTCACCACAAACCAACAAATCTCAATTTCGCCTTAAGAGTTAGATTGCTAAATATTGCTGAGGCCGTTGGGATCCACATTAAGAAGTCTAACTTATGTGTCCAAAAGAAGTTAGTTCAGACATTGTCCTTACTTTGACCATCTAGGTTTGCATGATTTTCAATTTTTGTAGAAATTTCCCTAATTTTAGTTGATATTATATTCGCTACTATATCTTTATTATTATTATAATTTAAGCGTCTTTAATGAACTGTAATTCTATTTATCTTAACGAATCGATATTATTAAAAAAAACACTATTATTGACTATTATTCTAGAATATTCTATGCATATATATGTAATTGTAGAGCCAGAAGAGGAAATTATCGAAAATGATTTTCTTTGCTCAATTATTTTGTCTGAATATTTTCGCTATAATTCATTCTTATTAGTCGACTTTGTCTCTACCCACATCAATCATCAAGCACAGTATTTATTATAAAAAAGAACAACTTCTAGATACTTCTGCTGACGCTTAGGATGCTTCACCGTGAGTTGGACGACTGAACTTGTTGTTCGTGCCGTCGTTATCGGAGTACATTCTGTCTGTCTGGATTCAACATAGAACTTGGCACCGAAGTGCAGCAGTTCGAGTTGCCACGTTCCAAATAGCACACAGAGGTAGACAAGAAGATGAGTGAAGAGAATTAATAGAGTTTGACAAATATAAGAGTGAAACAGAATGGGTAATGGTAGAAAGGAATATGAAAGATTACAGAGACTGAATACATCTGCGCCATTGACAACGATTTTGAGCCATGTCACCTATTGTCTCCAGCCATTGATTCCTAGAGTCCCGAGGGCCCCAACCCGGGAGTCTGCATCTCCCTACCTGACTCAGTTTAACTGTCAAGGATTTCATGGATTGATGCCATGTTTTTGTTTGGCCACCACTGGCTCTTTTCCAACCTGAACCTATATCAGCTAACAATGCCCGTCGGGGGAGGCGGTGGTTAGGCATGCGCACCACGTGACCTAGCCATCTTAGTCTATGTAACTTTATAACCTCGTCGATTGATTTTCCCTCTTTGCCCAACACTCTACGCCTAACGTCAACATTACTTATCTTGTGAAACCACCTAACGTGAGACAGAGATCGCAGACATCTATGATCGAAAGCAGTCAACCTTTTCATGTCTTCAACGCGTATTGGCCATGTTTCAGAGCCATAGAGAAGGACGGAGCGAACTGATGAGCAGTACACACGTCCCTTGGTTGATAACCGGATGTCACGCCTACGCCAGAGATGGTGTAAGTCAGCGAAAGCAGCTCGAGCTTTTCGGATCCGTGCTGAGATTTCATCGCCAATCAGTCCGTTGGTGCTAATACAACTTCCCAAGTAGGTGAAGTGGTCAACATGTTCTATCACTTCACTCCCTATCACTAAGTTAGGGGTTGACGTCGTCCAGTCCTGTAGCAGCATCTTACATTTTGCAGGGGCGAATCGCATGCCAAACATACGAAGATTGCTGCTCAAGGTGTTCAGAAGACTCTGCATTTTGTCAGCATCCTCCCCTAACAGGACTATGTCATCTGCATATTCTAAGTCCATTAGATTATTCCCTGGTAACAAGTCGATTCCTAAGTCACTACGTTCAGTTAAGGATACTTCCATTAGCATATCTATGATGAAGTTAAACAGAAATGGGGAAAGTGGACATCCCTGTCGGACACCACTGGTTGTTACCAATTCAGATGACAATTCCCCATAAGCCCTTACACGACTACGTGAGTTTGAATAGAGTGCCTTGATTAGTGCAATGTACTTTCTTGGCACTCCCTTCACAGTCAGACATTGCCATAGTACCTTTCGGTCCACGGAGTCGAAGGCCGCCTTCAAGTCAAGAAATATGACAATTGTTGGACGCCGAAAAGTGTGTCTATGTTCTAGAATCTGTCGAAGAGTGAAGATATGATCTATGCACCCTCTACCTGGTCTAAAGCCTGCTTGATTTTCCCTTGTCTGTTCCTCTCGAGTTCTGCTTAGTCTATCGGAGTACATTGAGGAATTTGGTTTAATTCGCTATGATTCGTAACTAATATTAACAATAAAAAGGAACGAACGGTTAAGCCGACAAATGAAAATGCCTCGTTTAAACTACTTATCGATAAAACGGACCTTATATCTACATTCTAATTTCCCTGAAGAATCTTTAATAGCCGTGAATCTGTGTACAAAGTCCTAATTCTTCTTCTAAGAAATTCATTTTTATTTAGGTGAGATAGGATTTAAACGGCGTCGGTTTGTCTGCGATGTGAGTTATGTCCGATGAGAGGAGCTTTGAAAGACTACGTATTAGTGTAGGGCGTTAAATTAGTTCGTTATGCAAAACCTCCTGCACATGCGCATTTTTGACAAATGAATCAGTATGTATAAAACCGCGGACTCACACCAAAAAATTCCGGTGCTCTTTTAGGAGTGACACATGTCAGCCCGAAATTTTCAGTTTCACTTAAAATTTTCGAAATGTCTGATATGCATTGGGAGATTATTATGGACAATGTTTAAGTGATTCAGTGTGATCGAAGGCCTTGCTCGTCATACGTCATAAGGGGTTTATAGGTAAATTCAGGGGATTAGAGGGAAAACTGCTGCACTTCCCTCAAACTCTCGCGAAACGTTGCATATATAAACCCAAAAACTACCGACAATTTTTTTACTTGAGGCGCTAGCATAGCAATGTCGATTACTCAGTCTTATGCTTTAAACTGTGGTGGCCCCTGCACTATATCTCCACTTCAGCAAACATACGATAAGACGTACAAAGTTCGAAATAGGACTGACAATGTTTTAACCAAAAAACTACTCAAGACATAAAATGAAAAACCTTTGTCTTACTTGTCTACAGAATCGCTATTAATAACCCGGAAACCATGAAGCCTTTCATGTGTAATAATTTTACGTGATCTGAACTAGTTATACAGAAAAACACCTATTCTTTGAGGAAATACAATAACTTTATGCAAACATGAGGTGAAATTTGAAAATCCTACAAAACAGTTAAAGGTCAGTTCAAAGACCAATGTTACTTGATGGAAAAAATTTCCAAGATTTCAGATATACTGGTTGGCGAAAGAAGCCTTGAAACCGATGTTAATCCATTTTTAGTAAATTTTTGTGCTTTTACAAACCCTTTTTGTATGAATAAAACGAGGATTCTGTCACCACTATTTCGTGGAGTAAGTTCTAAGAGTTTATGACTCAGTGTGAAAACCAGTACTCAACGGCGGCGTGATTTCTTCTTGGCTTTTGAACTCTCCTACTGTGCCCTCTAAGGTTTTTCCACCTGGTGGGAAGGAAAAGGGAGAAAAGGTCAGGTCCGTATTCATTATTAAAAATTTTAAACAATCTGATTAAATCTCCTCTCTGCCTACGGTATGACAGGGAGAAGATACTTAAATCTTCTGGTCTTTCCTCGTACTATAAGTTAGCCATGCCGTGAACCATAGGTGTTGCCTTCCCCTGAACCCTTTCCAGAATATATGAGTCTCCTTTAAGACATGGACTGGCTGCCTGTATAGACTCTTCTGTTATTGACCTGACCATAGATGAATATTAGGAGGTGAACATATCTCTGGTGATTCCAGTAAAAGCTCTGCGAATCGTCCGTAAGGACCTGAAACTACGTGAAGCCACCGCGCGACAGTGTGCTGTAGTTTTTAAGTCGTGGCTAACTATAACACCTAAGTCCAAGTGAGTCTGAACCGATGGAAGTGTTATTCCCTCTAGTTCGTAGGAGCTTGTGCTTGCTTGTCCAATGCGCATGGTTGCACATTTTGCCACATTGATCGGGAGCATCCATTCTATGGACCACTCTGACAATTTGTTGAGGCCCTCTTGCAACGTGAACGTATCACTGTTGCCCTTCAGCTC